TAGAGATGAAAAATTCTACACAGAATATATCTTTTTAAAAAATTTGAAGACACGTTTTTTTTATGTTTGTTTGAAATTTTGCTTTCATTATGTCTTTGTGTATTTTTGTCAGAATTAAATTATTCAATATTTTTTTAAAAATTTAGGACAATGAATATGAGGATCAAAAATTATTGGATTTCGTTAAGAACGGGCCGAATCACAAAGCTTCAAAGATAGGCGTGTCAGGCGGCAACCTGGCAGATTTTGCAACTTTGGGGGGGGGGGTTTAACTTAGCGGGGAATTCACTTTTCGAGGTTTTCTTCTGCGGCTTTCTTTATGCTGGCCTCGACTACACTAATCAGCAAAAAATGAAAAAAATCTGAGAGGGTGGTGTTCAAACGTGTGCGATTTGGCGTGGAATGGCTCATATATGTTTAGAAGTTTATTAATTAAAGGACAGTCAACTTTGCTTTTAAAACAGAGGGAGCATTGTTTTATATATTAATAAATCGAAGTTAGTTGAGCTTATAGGGTAACAAGTCAGGAAAATATCCATTACACGTTGCGGTTGAAGCAGTCAGGCACACAGATGGTGACGTACTGACCGATCCTGTTGAATGGTTGATGGCGAATGGGCCTGGTTTACATGAGACGTAAGTTTTTTAACAGGAACTCTCTTTTATTTCAAATTGAATTGTAACAGCTTTTGAATGATCGTTTTAGCGATGAGGACGGAAGATTACCACTTCATTACCCACTCATACAAGGCAGTGATTCAAAGATAAGTAACACCAATTCTTTTGATCCCGTTTGCATTATGTCTCTTCTGGAACATTCAATGGGGAAGACTAAGGTTTTATTTTTGAAATACAGTTCAGAACTTCGATTTTTGCGAAGTGTAGAAGTAATGAATCTTTTAAAGGTTATTGAACTATGTGACTAACAGTTGTTTATTATTGCTTTTTAAGATTGATTTACCAGATAAATTCGGTAATACGGCGCTTCATTATGCAGCAATTTGCGGTGCGAACATTTGTGCAGTTACGCTGTTAGGGTACGGGTGCAATCCAAACAACATTAATAAAGAGGGTAATACTCCCCTTGGTCTTGCAGTTCTCCATCAAAAGGAAGCGTGTACATTAACGTTTATTCAAGCAAAGAGTGATTTTACGAGAAAAGTAATACGTTTATCTTCGTTAGAGTTTCAAAATTTAACTTCTTTTTAAAAAATAAAGTTAGATGGATTGCGTGTCTTTAGTTTCAATAAGTGTTTAGATTAGTCTTTAGGTTTATATTCGTCATTTGGGTACTGAGGATGACGAATTAGAAAAGTGGACTTGGATACCAAACCGCCGCGGCCTAGTGAAAACGATTTCGGTAACTAGTATAAGTAGTTTGGTAGTGAGGAATGGTTGGGAGGGTATCATTTATGTTGTGCTGGACGCCATTGGAAAAACTGTCAAGTCACTGGGAGAACTTGTGAAAGCAGCCCTAGAGCACAACAAATATAACCTAGTTCAAAGCCTTTTACGTATGCTAGATCGCGTCATTAATACAGGTAATTTTCAGTGTAAAATTTTTTGTCAGAAAGGATTATTAAGCTGATTTTTTACTGTTAGTTACAGCTTGAAAACTTTTCAAAAAGTGGTCAGTTTAGTGACTTTGGAAGGTTTCTATGGTACGATTTTCTTCTAGAATGTTTCAGGCACGGATAAAGCAAAGAGAGAAAACATTAAATATGTGGAGGAACTGGACTTATTCCTGGTTTTCGTGTCTCATTTACCGTCATCGGAGGTTGATGAGACAGTTAAGAAGGTCAATTGCAATTGCGAGAAGCAGCAAAATTGCACCAGCTAATTCCTAAATAATTTTGACGTAAAAAAGTGCTTTGTGGCCTCCTTTAGCGGCTGGTGCAGAATTTACTGGTAATTTGTTTTTTGAAGCAAGTGAATTTTTTCAAGGGTTTGCTGTTTAGGTGTTCGACCACTTACGGTCTTTGAATATTAAATGGTATCAGGTCCAGGAAAGTGGGCTAAAAAGTCCGGTTATCGAACGTCTTGCTCAAAATGGTCATTTTCAAATGCTTGATTTGTTATACGAGGTTGATGAAAAGGGTGATAAGGTATGGTCGAAGATTGATTTTGCGAATGACAGCACCAACCCTTTGGTCGGAGTTATCGAGGGGTGTTTAAAAAGCGGTAACGGCTCATAATAAGTCAACTATTGTTTTGTTATATGATTTAAAACAGTCAGTATACTTTTTAAACTGCGGTTTTGCTACTAGTTGCATACTTATAATACCGTTTATAGGCCTATACACTTACCATTTTTTGTCGCTTTGCCGTAAAGTAATAGTTTTGCACCGCTGTTCACTTAGTTTTTGAGTTTTAGAAGATTTTTAGTACGCTCTCAGTATTAATACGTTAAGCTCTTTTATCTATTTTCATTGTTGTAAACTTTTTCTGTTTCTCGTCTTTTATGATGTTTTTTAAAGCTCTAGTTTAGGGTTTTCTGATGACAGAATAAAGTGGATGAAGAGGTTTGGAAAAAGATTTGGGATCAATACTTTAATGTCGTATCCCCGACCTGCTTTTTATGGGCTTGTTCCATGGAAGTCCCGGAAACCTACTGCAGAGACAGGAAGAATGTCTCCACTGATTAGGGCAATTCAACACCATAGTGTTGAACTTGTGAAGTATACTCTGTTCAAAATTTATATTTTGGGGAGGGGAGCGCAACAGTCCTGAGAGGTTTTAAAGTTGTTGGGTGTTTGTCTTGACAGAATTCCATGGTTACATTTTTCCAAGGGGTCGGAGTTTTTCCGGAAGTACCGGCAAAGTAACTAATAACAGTTGGATGATTTATGCATCCTTCTTCTTTACTTGAACAGATGTTTTATAAAATCTATCTTTGTTATGGACGTAATTTTTAGGTTTCTTTTACTATGTGAAGATCTGTGTGTAGATGTAAACGTTTGTGATGAATATGGTATCAGTCCACTGATGCATGCGTGCATTGTGAATTCGGAGGAGATTGTTAGGTTGTTATTTGACCCACATTGTTCATATTCAAATGCAGTTACGTCGGGAAATCTTAACAATGAAAGAGACAGTACTGGAAAGGGGAAAAAGAGGAAGGTGAAGATTCGTTTCACTTTTTTAAATGTTTACTGTAATAGACGTTGTGAAGTCTTGATGCCTTTAAGCTTAACCAGACCGGCCCGGAGTATCCAAGGGTTGCCTTAGCCGATTTGTTTCGTAACAGCCATCCCGTTTACGGTTCAACGTCTGCACCAGAAAAAACAGCTGGGAATGAAACGCCGTCAAATAGTGAAGGCGTAAGTTCATTTTATTACATTATTTTGCTTCCTAAATTAAATCACTGTCTAAAGTTTTTATTACTACAGCTTAGTAGCTTCTTTCAGCTACTTTCTTTCAGGTGTCTTCAAATGGTCCTATAAAATTACTCAGTAATGTCGACATTTATAAAAAAGTTGTAATAAAAGAACCCACTCTCCTTTCTGCAACTGAAACCACTGCAAGGAATTTCCTCCATTTCATGGTGACGCCATGTGGATGGGAAAACACTAATTTACTGCTTTCGTTATGTAAAGGGACACCGGAGATTATTAAGATGATTGATGAACGCAGTTCAGGCTCGGAGAGTATGTTTTGCATATACTAGCTGCAAAGTCTGCCATACTTTTAGCGTAGAAAATTCTACGACAGCTTTTATGTGAAGCAGTTTTTGAGGAGCATTAGGGAATTTGATACTGTCTCTAAACTTCTCGTACTATTTGTATGCTTAAGGCTTTTTCAAGACTCTCATCACTTTTTTCAAATGTCTTAGCAAAAGCATTTAAGAAGACTAGAAACTTTACAGATACTAAAGATTAAAATTATTAATGAAATAATTATGTTACTTTCCGTTTATCAGCAGCTGCCCGCCTAGTATGGATTCAGTTTTTTAGCTTTTTTAAGTGAATCTTCAAAGTTACAAGTTTCAGTAACCCCACTGATGGAAGCCAGAAATTCTCATCAAGTGAAAATGTCGGAAGCAATGGCAAAAGTGTGTAAGGGGATGGTCGTAGACATCGAAATGGTGAGTAACAGGAATGATTTACCGCGAAGTAAATTTTGATTTCTCTGCTTCACTTAGTTAGTTTCTTATTCAATTAATTGAATTCTACTTTAGCCTGATACTGACACCTCAGATTTGCAAAGCATGTATGACGTTACCGCCGATTCTGAAACCTATCTGGCAAAATATGTCGATAAGAATGTCGAAGCGAATGCTGCCGAGTGCTCAAGAATGAAGTTGAAGCCACATAAAAATAGTGGTTACGAAGATATTGGGGAAGTTTGCATGAAGAAAGTTGGAAATGGGACTAATTTGTTATTTAAGGTTTATTTTTGATCTTTAAAGTATTATTTGGAGCCGCAGTTTAAATATTTTTGGGGACTCTAAAGTTAAACCATTTCTTTGATTTTTGGAGATTTCTTCATTTTCATATTGTGCTAAATTCCCAGGTTCTTTTGACAAAGACAGACATTCAGTTTGGCACGTATGGATTTCATAACTTCTACCGCATGGAGTTGATCAAGCGAAGAGGTGGTTTTAGATATGTTGAATTAATTCTCAGATATTATGTTAGACTTGAAAAGTAATATTTTAGCTCTCCTTTGTCTTCAGGTTTTAATTCGGTTCCTGTTGAGTTTTTTAGTGAGCTTTGTTGATCTTGTTTACTTAGTTTTGCATTCACACGGAAGATTCTTGAAGGGACTGAACTCTATATTTTGTTCACGAATTGGGGACGTATTGGTGACCCTGTTGGTCAGTACCAAAAGACACCCTTCAGTTCTATGGCGGACGGGGAAAAAGAATTCTGTTCGATATTCAAATCTAAAACAGGGAACGAATTTCCAGAACTAAGTAGTTTTGTCGAGAAACCGAACAAGTACAGGTGTGGCAAAATTGAGTTTCTTTCTTTGGCCTTTTCATTGCTTTTACTCTTTTCTAAGTCAGAAATTCTGCCATTTTCTGGCTGCTCAGACATTGGTTTGGGGCTGTGTTTATCATCCACAGCATCTGTAATGCATTTTTTGTAAGGGAGTATAATACCAGTTCCAGATGCTTAAAAAATGTAATGCTCCATCCCCCTCCCATTTTCTTGCCACTTCTGATTGTTATGGGCAGGTAAAGCCATAGTTTACAAGTGATGTGCTTTACAAAGAAATAAATGCTTGAATGAATTTTATTTTCAAACTCGATCTTTTTGCTGGGAAAAGGGTCCTTGTTGATTCTTTAAAGAAGTTACTATTCTGAATTCGTGATAATTCATGTTTTTTGGGAAGAGTACTTCATAAGTTTTTTGAGTGTTCTGGTCGCTTTGGGCAATTTTTTCAAAATATTTCCTTTCTTTCCACCTTACTCATTATCCATATTTTTTGAAAGATTATTTGTTTAAGCAAAGGTTGTAGTTGCTACTTCCGTTTTTCAGCTAATCTGCTTGAGAGGATTGTTTTTTACGCGCTGTTCTTTCAGGCTTTTAGCATTGGAGGACTGTAAACCTGGTAGCGTAGCTGAGCTAGATATTGATCTTGGTTCAGGACCTGTCAAAGAAAGGCAGTGCGCCCGGTCTGAAAAAGATCCCCTCTACGCATTGATCATGGATATCTCCAACGTGCAACGACTGCAGGATCGCACTCGATCTGTAAGATCATTTGACTTTAATGAGGAATAACTGTCTAATGCAGCTGCTGTAACGTCCATTTATTGTAGGAGCTATCAGTTGTAAAAAATTTATTTCTAGGCAATTGAATAATTGTGGTGTTTGTCCATGTTTAAAGTGAAGTCTGCTTTGAGGCTTTAGATTTAGAGTTGCATAAACATCGTCAAGATAACAAAACTTTGTTTTTGTGTACTAATTACTTTCATATTGATTGTGACACGTATGAATCCCGTGTTTCTTTGTCCCGTTAGTGCATTTTTCTCATTATATTCTTTAAGGTGTGTTGTTATACTAAACTACAAGTCCCTTTTGGCCGCCTTTCCAGGAAGGATTTATTAGCAGCTCGCGAAATGCTTTTAAAATTAAAAAATTATGAGGATACTGTGAGAAAAATGAGGAGCGATTTAAAACCTGTGGGTGAAGTACTGCAACTTTTACGCGACCAAGCATCCGCCTGCAACGAGTTTTACAGGTAGTTTCTGATAATTCGTGAAGGCAACTCCGTTGGTTTTCTGGTTTGAGAAGAAAAAAAATCGTAGGAACAATTTTTGATTTCTGCCTAATTGTTTCATAGAAACACTTCTCCCTAACACCTAGCTTATTGGTGCCAATTTTTGTAAGCAGTTGTTTTCAGCTTTTTAGTCTGCAGTGATTATGGCCTTCTGAAAAGCTAGGGGGATTTACTGTACCGTATAGATTAGGGTGTAATTTTTTAATCTTTTATCAGTTTCTCACTTCCAGTATTCTAGGCTGATGCCTCTTGGCGGGTTTCAAAACACAGCACTTCCAATGATAGATAACAGTAATTTGATCGAGGAGTTTGATAAGACAGTAGAAAACTTATTGGAGTTTGAGGTTGCTGGGCGGCTGGTGACAGCCGCTTGCGAAAGAAAAGAGGCCGTCGACCCTTACGAGTAAGAAGTTCAAACTTTATCACTTTGGTCTTCTTTATTGTAGGACTATTTTTCCTGCAGTAATACTGCGCATTTACTGGTAAAGCCGACTGAAATAAGTTTTAAAAGAAATCTCTTTTTGTGAAATAGTGCTTTTAGATGCTTTACTACTTAGCTTGGACGAACGCCTTCAACTGGCTCTCAAGTAATCGCAGCACAGAACTATCAAAAAGGCAGAGGGAGCCAATATGGGGAGGGTTGGAAAGTTTTGAAAACGTGTAGACCTCAAAAACCTACGGAAGGTAGACAGCAGCTGTATGAAAAATTTCGTTTGCAGGTACATTATAGACGCGCTTGAATGTGAAATACGTCCTTTAAACCCCGAAGACCTAATGGCTCAACGCATCCTGCAATATATACAAAATTCATCGCAAGTCACAGTTAAAGGGATTTTTAGTGTGAGGTGTAAAGAGGCGACAAATTTGTTTAATGAGAATTCGTTGGACTTGAATAATCACATGTAGGTGTACTTACCAAACAGGTATTCCTACCCTTCATTTTTTACGTGACAAATCGTTTCGAATGTTCTAGGTACTTATGGCATGGGACAAAGCCAGAAAACTTACTTAGCATCCTTAAGTTGGGCCTTTTAGCAGCTCCCGCTTCGGCGTTGCAAACAGGACAAACATTCGGGAAGGTCAGTTTTCGTTACATAGGAAATACTCGAATTCCAAAGCCGTTGCACTTGACTGCCTTTATTAAAATCGTCTTTAAGAATTTTTGCGTGTAAATTGGACTTTTTCAGGGAATATACTTGGCGGACGTTTTTGCTAAAAGTCAGGAATATTGTACTTCTTCATCCGCTGGTTTGAAATATGCTCTTCTCTGTCAAGTGAGTTCTTTGTTTTCTGCATTATTTCTGCCACATCGGTGGCAGTTGCCAACGCCCAACACTTTGGAGCAAATAAATCCTCGTCCTTCTGCAGTCGTAACCGATCTTTCCTGCTAATTGACCGAGTTGTGCTTCTTACAGCTGAGAGCTTTCCTAATGACTCCTATATAGCTAGGGAAATTCTTGAGTTAAAAGACAAATAATAAATGTCAAATAATAAAGAACTTTCTGTGTGTGAAGGAGTGTGAAGGACCTATTTTAATAATTTTTACTCGTTTACGAGTGACAATTCCAGGTTGCTTTGGGGGAAGTAAAAGTTTTATATAACAATTGCTCCGCTGAGGACAAAGATCCTTCGTTTGACACCCTGAAAATTGTTGGTCGCGAAGCCCCTGACTGGCTCTACAACCTAACGCTAAAGAACGGTAAGTACTGTCAATTTAGAATGTAAATTGAAAATTGAATTTAAAACTGGATCTACTAGATGAAATGTAGCACCTCTTCAGGAGTAACTATTCCGTCTGGCCAAGTAAAAGAGCAGAAATGCGAGAACCAACCTTACATCTACGCGCCCCACACTGAATACGTTGTCGCAAACAAAGCTCACGTTCTTGTTCGCTATTTAGTTGCCTTCCAGTAGAACACTGGTCCTCCCCAAAATGTCGCTTGTGTGTATCTCTCTACGTACTTTACTTCCAAAAAACCTCGCACTAGAGAACCTTAACCATACCTCTGCGAATGGCCTACATTTGGAGAGATGCAAATGCAGTGCGCGGGTGGTGTAAGAAACTCATTTCCCCGTCCAACGTCGATTTCCATCCACGTCATGAAGAACCATCATTTTCCACGTCCATTTGATAGTTTTGCGAGTGTACTCCTTACTTTAAAGAATGCTTGTCGGTGAGTGGCAGTAATGTGGGCCTCTGCTAAGACTACGGGACCCCTAATTTTTTTTCCGATCTCTGCCTGTTTTGACACTTTTAAATTACCCTCATTTCAAAATACGGTCTCGAGACAGCCGGTGAAGCTAAATTTCCTTTATCTCATTTTTGAAGGAGCTCCGGTTGCATGTTGTTGATTCCATTTTTACTTTCTTTTGTGCAGACGTAACCTCATAAAGTTATACAGACGTTGCTGGTTAAACTACACAGTTGCAAGGCTGACGCACCTGTACGCTTTGAATGCCAGGTACATGAGGCTTCAACGGCTTTGGGTAAGAGTACGATGAGCTGCTTAACAAAATATTAACAAGCACCGTCCTCAAAACATCTATCGAGGCTGGCGCAACTCTCGCGGTTGCTTTTACGCTGTTACATGTCGAGTTGAATACCCTTCCCTACTTGACGAAAACGGCTGGCACAGCACAACATTAGTTTTTATTGACAGTGTTGCTCGCGACTCTGCACGAAGCTTCACATCACTGTGCAGCATAGCGCCGCGGCAAAAAATGTCAGGGACTGGAAAGACATTGGAAGGACAATTTCTAACGAGATTTAAAAGAACTGGACAAGAGCAACAAAAATGAGGAAGACAGCAGCTGCAAGTCTTTTGCCTGCCTGTGGATGCTTGAACTGTATTTGCCACTCATCCAAGCACTGTTAGTCTCCTTCCCCGCTCCATAAAATCAGTAGTTCCTAGCCGTGACGG